TGGCTAAAATGTGTCAAGAGACAAGTTAAACAAAAGTATGTTTTTATATTATGTGTAACAACAGTTTTTAATATGTTTGTTCTGAATTCATGGAAAGTAGCTTTACACTTCTTTAAAATCATAACAAGAGCTACTATGTTATGTGCAACTACTATTTGATAAAACTTTGACCACAGTGGCCTTGGAAGAATAAAGTCATTAATGTCAATTTGACAGTGAGGACTCTGAGGCTCAATGAGGTGCAGTGAATTGCTAAAGGTATGCAGTGTGTAAGGCAAAATCTACTTGGAGGTATGTCATAAAATCCGACATCCTTTCTATTATCTGTGGTTCCTCCTCTGTATCAAAGATAAGTACATGACTTTCTTATAGCCATTAGGAAACCCTGGCACATTTTGTTCCAGTCTTTAAACTATCCACAAAACCCCACTGCCATTGCATTGATTCCAACTCACAGTGACCCACATTGGGTTTCCAGGGCTGTAAATCTTTATGGGAGTAGATTGCCTCATATTCCTACTATAGAGCTGCTAGCGGGTTTTAACTGCCAACCTCCTGGTTAGCTGGCAAAAAACTTATTTCTCCACACATAACATTAATCAACTACCACCACTGTTCGTAAGATTTGAAGATTAAAGAGGAAAAATAAAATGTTACCTTTGGGGAGAGTCTCCCATGAGACATCAAAAGAAAATATTACCTTGGATTCAGCAACATTTTTTTGTCCTTAGGTTTTCAGAAATGGATATATAAACTAGGGTAGAGGGGACTCATACAACCTCATTGTAATTAATGTAATAATAGAATCAGAATACTGCTTTCGTGAGTTTTATTGGGGACCATATATTTTCATGAACTGCTATGGTCTCATCTTCTCAAGTGGATTCCATTATCCAGTATCAAAGTTTCTCTCCAGGAAAGCTTGTAGATCATTTAATTCAGTGATAAGACAAAGCAAATTAGCCTATTGATAGAGCAGTTTGGAAATTATTTCCTCCCTTGGAAATTATGTCAAGATCTGTAGAACACATACGCATACCCCTGTGTTAGAACACAGAAGGAGCCAAAGAAAAGGAAACATGCAAACACAGAAAAGTCTTAATTAGGCTGTTACCAATGAAAGGCAAGAGCTCCAATTTGCCGAAAACCTGAAACATTGCCATTCTGGAGGACTGAAAAAAAAAGATAAAATTTAATTTCTTCATAGTAATTTGGTGAATTAATGATCACAGCACACCAATAAAGCCACAGCAACTGGAAATATGATGCTATTGTTGTTAGGTACCAACAAGCCTGTTCTGACTCATAGTGACCCTATGGACAACAGAATGAAACTCCCCCATGCCACGCCATGCTCACAATCCCTGCCATGCTTGAGCCCATTGTCACAACCAGTGTGCCAATCCATCTCACTGAAGGTCTTCCTCTTTCTCACTGTCCTTCTACTTTACTGGTCTGTCCTGATAACATGTCTCAAGTATATGAGACTCATTCTCAACATCCTTCCTTCTAAGGAGCATTCTGGCTGCACTTCTTCAACACAGTTTGGTCCCCCTTCCTGAAGCCCAT